ATTAGAGCTACTGGTGGGTGTGAAGGCACTAAGCAGAGGGGTCACAGCTGTAGGCTGTGGGTCCAAAGTGTTCGGTTTTGGGGCAGGATCCACCCAGGGAAATGACCTCCAAAGGCTCCATCTTGCCTTGATGTTATTCCTCTAATTTTTTGCTTAGTTTGTTATAATTTTTTTTCCCTCTTCAGGCTGAAATTAAATTTCCTGCAATGATTTCATAGCAGCTCTGGTCTAGTGGAAGGTGTCCCTGCCCATGGCAGGGAGATTGGAGTGGATGATCTTTGAGGTCCCTTCCAACCCAAACCCAACTGCAGCGTGGGTAGGATGAGTGCAGGGCAGGGGGAATGGCCAGGGAAGCAGCCAAAGCCATACAGGGCTGTGTGAGGGACATAATTTTTCCTGTCCCCAGCAAAGAGGAATCATAAACTTCACCCTTTATTGTTTTCCATGCTGCTCCACATCGAGCACAGCTGCCTCCAAGGCTTCCCTCCAGCAGAACCTCTTTAATCCCATTCCCTCTTTCCTGTGGCTTAATTAGGGGGAAAAAAATTAATCTTATTTATGAAAGTGATTCCTTTGTTGCCAAACATTTCCATGTTTTTTCTTTTCTTCTCCTTGAGCAGGAAAAAGCATTTACCATGTTCTTCTCTAAAGCAGTTTCCAGGGAGGTCCAGCAAACAGGGCCAGGGGCCATCAGCAGCCAGGTTTCTTCGCTTGAGTAAATCACTGTTTTGCCACTAATGGGAGCTGAATGCCCATTTTCTGTGCCCCATTTATTTTATTGCCAGCTCTGGGGTGCAGGGGGAGGCGGCACCAGGGCAGCTCTCCGGAAATCCCACTGGGGCACTTGGTGTGTTCCCTCCCCCTGATTTCACGGTGTGTGATGTGCAAACACATCAGGGAATTGCTGCTGCTCTCACCAGCTGGGATAACTCCCAGCACCCAGCTGTCTCTGCCTCCCTGCCTGTCCATCTCTATTAGTTTTTATTTGGAGGTTCCACGTGGTTATTCAGGAGGGGAGATGCTCTTGCTCAGTCTGTGCCAGCCAAAATCCCTGTGAAAGAAAATTTTTTTTGAATAACAGGGGGTTTTTTTGTCATTATAATAAAAAATTATCGTTTTCCCCCACCCTGTTGGTCCCTCCAGCCCTGCTGTGGGATGAGGACGGGAATGGGAGCCTCAAGCCACCCTGGGATGGCAAAGGCAGGAGCTGACCCACCGCCAGCTTGAGGTGAAGCAATTAAAGTGTGTGGCTGCCACCAGCATTTCCTGCCTGTAATTAAAGCTTTTAATGAGGAGGCATATGGTAACCCCCCCCTCCCCAGCCCCAGGCTGGCATTTTGCCAGGTGTGGGTTCATTAACGGCTGCTAATTACACCATCACTCAGTGTCTAAGTTAAGGAGGGCTGCATTGCCCAGCCCCGAGTGCTCTAACAAGCTGTGAAAGCTGCCAGAAATATTCTTGATTTTATTCTTCTTTTTCCCCCTTATACCAAGTACTGAACCCCAGGGGTTTGCAGGGCATTTTGGGGACACCACCACCCTGGGACACAGTGCTGGCTCCTTCCCTGCAAATCCAGCTGCAAATGCTTTTATTCCCTGGAGTGGGTTATGCTGGAAGCTTGATAATCCCAGTAGCCACTGGCTCAAAGCTGTTCCCCATCCAAAGGTGGATCCAGCATCCAGGACATGCCCAGCTCCATGGAGTTTTGGGGCTCCTGCATGTCCCTGGATCAGGACTGTGTGTTATCCTGATAGGAAAACCAGTGGCTTTGTTCCCGTCAGACCCCAGCTCTGCTGAGGGGGTTTCCTTGGACCAAGAGCCCAACAATGAGGCTGTTTCCTTTGCAAAAGGCTCTTGGTAACATTTTAACAACAGCTGGTTGTGTTTCTTACCTTGGGTGTTACAAAGCACCTCATTCCCAGCCTGGGGCTCTGAATCTTCCGGCTGCGCACAAGCACGGAGAGAAAAGGAGCATTAAAATCATCCAGGTGGAAGTTCTCCCCTTCCTTTCCAAGCCAGTCCCAGGTCCTGCTCCTGCAGCAGCCTGGTGCCACCTGTCCCTGCTGCCTTGTGCCTGTGCTGCTGGCACTGATGGGATGTGTGCCATGGGCACTGCTGCTCCAGCACTCTGGATCTGCCTCTGGAGGGACGGGAGCTGCTGGAGAGCGGGACAATGGCAGACAGGGAGGCCACTGAGGATGGAGTTGAGGTATGTGGAGCTGCTCAAAGAGGTCTGAACCTCGAGGGACACCAAAAACAAATGGATGTGATTTGGGGTTGGAAATGCCTCACCAGTCCCATGGGAAATGTGGATGTGGCACTTGGGGACACGGTCAGTGGTGGCCGTGGCAGCGCTGGTTGGACTCGATGATCCCAGAGGGTTTTTCCCACCCAAACAATTCTGTGGTTCCACAAGCCTGCTGCCTGAGGGTGGTGGGTCCTGGCCAAAGGTGCCTCCAGCACCGTTCCAGGAGCATCAGGATATAATTTATTGTGAAATATTTAATTGTAGTGACCGGAGTGACGGGAGCACACGTGGCAGGACGTCACTTCTGGGTGCAGGTAGGAAGGGGTATTCCCGGGAGGGTGTGAGGCTGGTGTGCATGGATTTCCACAGCAGGAGGGTGGGATGTTCAATATCAGATTTAGTTCTTGCCACATTTCTCTGTTTGATGATACAGCAGCAAACCAAAATCCCAGGGGTCAGGTGGTGGGTGCAGTCGGGCACAGCCCAGCACAACCATCATGCCCAGTCCTCCCTGCTCCCCCACCCTTCCAGCTGGGAGGAATGGGCTGGGAAGGACCCTGGCACAGTGGGAACTGCCGGGTCAGGAGAGGAGAAAAGAGTGAAAATGGAAATAATTCCTCTTTTAAAGGAAAATACAGCGTTGGGGGGTATGAACTCAGTAGGATCCAGCTTCCTGCAAACACGTGTGCAGTCACTCCTGGCAGGAAACACCCAGGAAAAGTGTCTCCTGTTAATTAAGGATAAAAAACCTGATTCCTCTGAGGAGACACGATAATTGTTGGTGCCCAGGAAAGTTACACAGAGAGGGAAAAACAGACCAAGCCTTTGTGGAGCTGAGCCCTGGGCCGGGCTGCTGGTGCCCTCTGCTGCCAAGTGAGATCTTCTACATGTTCCTCTGCCCAGTTTAGCATTAAATGAAACAATATCTACATATTTGTAGTCAATTTACAGACAGCAGCTTCTTGATTTTGCAACAAAACTGATGGTAATGGTAAAAAAAGACACAACTTTTGCAGTGAGATTCTCTACAGTGGATGTTGCATTAATCACATTTTTCTACTTTTCAGGTTAGGGAACACTGGGTAACTTTGAAGTCATTAAGTTGTTTTCTAAAAAAAGCAAGTCAATTTTAATCTTATTCCCTATTTTTTTCCTCCCCGAACAATAATTTCCACACACACCAACATTCCTGCAGAGGTCTGGAGCTCAAGATCAGACATTAATTCCCCCTGTGAGGATTTGAGCAGTGGCTGCTGAGTCATTTTTTATTGCGTGAACCCACAAGTCTCCAGTCCTACACCAAGGCAATAATGGTTCAAGACACTGGTTTTATCCAGCTGAGGCCTTCAGAAGTCAGGGAAGAAAGAATTCCAAAGTGTATTTTATGTCTTTAATACATTTTTTTTATTGCAGTCACTCCAAAACGATTCACAAGTTTACTGCCTTTTAAACCTCTATGCTAATAAAGTAGAAATTAATATTGATGTAATGATAGGATTAAACAGGAGATAAAAACCTGCCGTGGAAGGATGCACAGATTGTCAGGGATTTTTAATCATGTACAGAGAGAACAAGGTTCGTTAAGTGAGTTCAAAGAACTCCAGCTCATCAGTCTTCACAACAATTTTACAGGAAAATCTAATGAAACATGAATAAAAGGACCTTTGCTATTCAGTAGAAAAAAGACACTGGGCAACAAAAATAAAAACAAACCAACAAAATATATACGCAAAGCAACATAAGCTCAAGTAGGTGCTCATTTCCTCCAGTGGCTTCTCTGGAGGGAAAACTCAAGTTCCCTCTCTGCAAGCACACGTGGAGTGGTGAAGAACCCTGAGATTCCAGAACCTGGGCTGAAATTCTGTTTGATGCCAACAGATCTCATCAGAGCCTTGTCAACAGCATCCCTGTGTTGTTCTCCTCCAGGCACTTCCTACTTGTTGGCTTTACAAACACAGGGAAAGGCATCACAGCCAGTGCCAGGCAACTCCTTGGGGAGCTGGAAAAGTCCCCTGTCAGAGACTGAAATGGTTCATGATTTGTGCATTCTAGGATTGCCAAGGGACTTCTGCAGGCTTCTGCAGGACTTTTGCATTATACCTCTGATGGCCCATCAAAACCCATCCCCCACTCTGCCAATCTTAAAAGGCAGGAAAACCCTTTTTCCCAGGCCCTTCACAGGAACTCTGTGCAGGCCCAGGAGATGCTGGAGGCTTGTGACATGGCCTGGGACACCATCCATGGATATAGTAACTCATAACTTCTTTGAGTGTGGGGGCTTCCCTCCTTCTCCCCCAGTGGATCAAGGCCACCACTTCAACTGACAGACATGGAAGCTGCAACTACCGAGTTCCATCGCTGGACCCCGTGGGTGGTGACTATGTACATCTTTCCACTCTCATCTTTGCCTTCCCTTACTCTCCCTTACCCTTATCCTGTCTTTCCTTTCTTTCCCTTACCCTTATCCTGTCTTTCCTTTCTCTCCCTTATGCATTTTCCCCCCCAGAGGTTGTCCCTATGCCATATTGTTACAGATGATATAGATGATAACACCCAAAATGCTAACACACCTGTTCAAACAAAATTGTTAAAATGAACCCTACTTATATATGTTTAAATAAACCCTACCTATAGATGTTTTCAAACACTGATTATTCAGTGTTGTTTCACTCTAATCCACCCCAAAGGAATTATTGATAAGAACCTGGGTTACCCCCTCCCCTTTTTCTGGGGCGGGTTGTAACATCCCCATGTTCTCGTGACACCATCACCTGCACTGCCATCAGACTGGAAACCCAGCGAAACATTCCTGCAAGCCTTAATGAGACTGGTTTTTATAATCCTTAAAATAGGCACGTGCTGTGTTGTGTTCAAAGGTAACGTTCAATGGCCAGGAAGACACCTTCACATCCAGGTTATCCAACCCAAAATTTATTCCAGATCACCAATCCGAGTTACATTTTACAGGATTTCCTCCCTAGGGAGTTCAACTTTTAGTCCAGATCCTGGCAGGATGAGAGGAGTAAGGGAAAGACAAGCCTCTACCATTTAAGCAAGCTCTCTAAACGACTTCTGTTGCCTTTCCAGCATTTCCTTTACAATAACTGATCACGCTGCTCCATTTTTTTGCTCTTCTCCTTGACATCTTTCAGCGCATCCTGCAGCTTCTTAGAGTTCTGTGTCAGGAAGGCCAAGCTCTCCTTGAAGTTGCCGATCCCGTGCTCCCTGCAGATGTTCTCAAGCCCATCAAACCACTGCAAGATCTTCTCCAGCTCTGCCGTGACAGCCTTCTGCTCCTCCAGCTCGGCCCTCAGAGCCTCCCCCGCGGCCGCCTCGGCCCTGCACTGCTGCTGCAGCTGCTGCAGCTCCTCCTGCAGCGCCTGGAATTCCTCCTTGCCGTAAGGATACTGCTCGTGCACCCTGTCCTCGGGCAGCAGCACGTTCCTGGGGATGTTCAGCACCAGCTGCAGCAGCACCTCTTCCATCCTACCGAAGAGTTTGTCGAAGTGGTCCTTTATGAAGAGCAGGAACTTCTCGGTGCATTTCCGGATCTGGGAAGGGCCGATCTGGCAGCCGGGGATCGCGTCCAGCTTCTTGAGGATCACGCCCTCCACCACCAGCATCATCTCGAACAGGTAGTCCTGGAAGGCGATGTACAGGCGCAGCATGCACGTCTGGGGGGTGAACCCGAAGAACTGCGCCTCGTAGGCCATGGGATCCACCGACATGGCTGAGGGGAGACGGGAACCGCAGGGCGCTACTGGGGAGCGGGGCCACCCCTGCCGCTCGGGGGCCGCGGACCGAGAGCGGTGTGGAGCCTGAGGCCGTGCCCGATCCCGGTGCCCGATCCCCGGGTGCCTGAGCCCGAACCCGGTGTCCGGTGTGGTGCCCAGTGTCCGATCCCGATCCCGGCGGTGCCGCCTCCGCCGTTTCCCGCCTCGCTCAAACTCCCCCCTCAGGGCGCCCCCGCCCACAGCCAATCAGCGCCCGCGCGGGCACCGGCGCCGTCCAATCACCGAGCGCTCCGTCCCTCGCCGGGCGGGCAAAGCGCCTCACCAATGAGAGCGCGGAGCGGTGGGCGGGCTCCGGCGGCTCGACAAATAGAAATGCGGAACAGCGAGGGCGCCGCGTCTCGGCCAATGGGAGTGCGCAGCGCCACGCGGATTCTGGCGGCTCGGCCAATGGGGGCGCGGAGCGTCGTGCGGGCGCTGAGGGCGGCGGGGCGGGGCGGGGGCGCCAAGATGGCGTACCAGACGTTCCGGCAGGAGTACCTGCAGGTGCCGCCCGTGACGCGGGCCTACACCACTGCCTGCGTCCTCACCACCGCCGCCGTGGTCAGTGCGCGGCCACGGGCCCTCCCCGGGGGATCGCGCCGCCTCACGGGGCCGCGGGGCAGAGGGGCGGGGAGGGGCACAGGGAGTGGGGCGGGAGGATGCCCGGGAGGGAGGTTGTGAGGGGGAGCGGGGTGAGGCTCGCTGGGCGCTCGGAGCCGTGGGAGGGGAGCCCTCGAGAAGGGGAGCCGAGTCTGGACCCCTCAGGGCCCCCCGAGCGAGGGGATCCCCAAAAACCTGCCCCGGGAAGGTGCAGAGCGCAAATAAACAACAACAACGCGAGGGGGTGAAGGAGCTCTCGCCACAGAGCTCACTGTGCTGATTAAAGACTTGTTGGGCTCTTCCTGGCACAGAGGAAGGGGTTACTGGGGTTCGAATGTGTATTTATGTGGGGTTTTTTATTTATTTTTTTTATTGATTCCATCAAAATGTTTTCTTTTTTTTCCAGCAATTAGAACTTATCACGCCCTTCCAGCTGTATTTCAACCCCGAGTTAATATTTAAGCACTTTCAAGTAAGTGTTTTCTGAAGCATGGGAGGTTTTAAAGTACACTGTAGAGTTTGGAAGTGCTTGTCTTCTCAGAATTGGGTGTTATGGCTTTTTGTATCAGAGAGAGACTTTTAAAAAAGCTACTGAAAAGCTGCAAATCACTGTACCTTGGCACAGGTCTTAAATTTGTTGTCTGTAAAGGAGAGTTCAGTTTCACTGTTACTCGCTTATCTATTTAGACAATAAACATAAACTGTCATGTTTAAAGTCCTTGTATTTGTCTTATTTCCAGATATGGAGGTTAATCACAAACTACTTATTCTTTGGACCAGTTGGCTTTAATTTTTTATTTAACATGATCTTTTTGTATCCTTCATCGAGTTGGTTGGGTTCCCTTGGGCGAGCAGAGCTCCAGAGTGCGGGAATGTTGCTGGACATGCACACAGGCAGAGGTTCAGTTCTGCCTCACCATAAATTCCTGGGAGTGCAGCAATGCCATCTTCACTGGTGCCATGATTGGGAATCCACGGGATCTCCTTCCTAAGAATTTTTCCAGTTGCTTTTGTGGTGTTAAGACTTGCACAAACTTGAACCTTCAGGTTGGTGTTGATGTACAGGTGAAAATTGCAGGTAATTTCTTTCTCTCATGGGTCACCCTCTCTGCTGAAGTGTCCAGAAAGAGCTGATTGATGGAGTAAGTGAATAAAAAAGTGTTAAGGTGATGCATAATTGATTCCTTTTCCTCTTGGGTCTGTCTTTAAACTGATTTGCCATGAGATTTTCCTGACCTGTGGCCTCAGATACCGGTACTGCCGCATGCTCGAGGAAGGCTCTTTCCGGGGTCGGACAGCAGATTTTGTATTTATGTTCCTTTTTGGAGGACTTTTAATGACTGTATCCTTTTTGTTTCAATTCCAGACTCCTCTGGTAAAGCGAAAGATGTGTGAATGAGAACTGAAACCGTGGTTTTTATTTTTTATCTTAATTCTTAGATGAATATATTTTGTTTGAAGTACGAGGAATAACAGTGTTTGTTAAGGTGGTTTTAATGCTTTGTGGTTGTTGCTGGTTTTCAGCCTTTTTACTGCTTGATCATGGAAGTGAGGTTATCAGGGGACTGACTGCTCAGGTGTGGAATCATGCTCAGGTTGTCTATGAAAAATTAAATTATGCTTTAATGAGGTTATTCATGCTGCAGGTACTCCACCTAGCATTTGATTTACATGAACCTGGGAAGGTGAAGTTACCAGTTGTGTGCAAAACATGGGATTACAGGCTAAGATGTGAAATTCCTCTCATCCTTGACCTGATAAGTGTTTCCTTAATGATCCATCACAGCTTTTTGGGCTGTTTGTGAACCTGGTTTTCCTGGGCCAGGCTTTCACCATCATGCTGGTGTACGTCTGGAGCCGCCGGAATCCCTACGTCCGCATGAACTTCTTTGGTCTCCTCATCTTTCAAGCCCCTTTTCTACCCTGGGTATTGATGGGCTTTTCACTGCTTTTGGGGAACTCCATCATTGTGGATCTCCTGGGTAAGCAATGGCAAGGAGCACAGGGATCTGCTCCTCCTGATGTTTTGGATGAAACACCAAATGTGGAAAAATCCAAGGGTTAAATGCCCTAATACTTGGTGTTAGTTCATCTAGTGTGTTTGTACCAGGCTTTTCTGATTTCTAAACATTGTAGCCTATTCTGTGCTGTCACAAGGATGGAAAGAGCTTCTGATGCTTTGGCTTTTTATTGCTTGGAATCAGCCCTGATGCATCATCTGATTAGAGCATCAGTCTACTGATAGTTTGTACTACTATTCTATCAACTCTAATAAAGCCAAAACATCAGTATGTTTAGTAGTGACAAGCAGTTTTCCTTGTATTAACACTTAATAGTGTAAGTTAAGCTTTTCAGCTGATGTTAGGTTGCTCCCTTGGGTTTTGTATTTCCATACCATAATATTTTCTGTGAAGGAACCAACGTGTGTTTTAATTTCCTGAAAACTCTAGTAAAGCAGTTGAAAGCTGTAAAGGAGAAATACTGAAAAATCACCATTTGACTTTTGTTTTTAATACCAGGCATTGCTGTTGGGCACATTTATTTTTTCTTAGAGGATGTCTTTCCCAATCAGCCTGGTGGTGGGAGGCTCCTGAGAACACCCTCTGTCCTGTGAGTATTGGTGTCTGCTTTGGAACAGACGTGGAAAAAGTGCTTATCTGGAAAACTGTGTGTTATCCAGTCACATCAGCTTCTGGTCAGTTGGACATAGACAGAATTGGGGTGTCTGTAGCTGATTTTTTTACTGAACTTGTGTTACTAAACAAGGGAGGAGGATCTGGCATTTGTGTAAGTGGGAACTAATTTGGGAGAAGGGCTGAAGGGTTTTCCCTTTGGTTTCTTTGGTAACACTTGTCAAGGCTTTGCTGGTTGAGCTTTGCCTGTGGTGGCACCAAAGCTGCTGGGTGTGAACAGACTGAGGTATTAACCTGATAGTTTGGGTTTTTTCTGTAAATCATCCTCACTTCAGAATTATGGAAGACAGCTCTTCGGGGTTCATTGTATTGAGTGGTGCTGCTCCTGCTCAGTTTCCTCTTGTGCAGAGGCCCTCCCAGAACAGCTCTGATGATCATTTTGTAGAATCCTAGAATATCCTGGATCAGAAGCTGAACCTTCTTAGCTTTGGACACACACAGTCCTAAACCTTCTCCCCAGTGAATTGGAGAGCAAGTGTGGCTTGGGTGTAAATCCCAGTGCTGTTCTCGAGGGAGGACACACTTCCACGTGCAGAATTTGAGCAGTTTTGGCCTCACTGTGAAACACTTATTTTAAGGGGGAAGTCAAAAAATCTTTCTGTTTTCCAGGAAAGCAATATTTGACACACCAGAAGAGGATCCTAATTACAACCCCTTGCCAGAGGAGCGGCCGGGAGGATTTGCGTGGGGAGAAGGTCAACGGCTCGGAGGGTAAATCGGTGCCTGTGCCAAAATCCTGCCACCCCTGGGACAGACTGGCCTGGAGCAGGGCCCATGTGGGGACTCCCCCACCACAGAAAGGACACTTTCTGACAGCTTTATGGTTTTGAAGACAAGCACTTTATGAAATGGCTGTCTAATCCAAGACAATTCCAGCGTCCTTCCCAATCAGGGAATTTACTGTGCTGGACATAATCTAATCCAGTGGAGCCAAAAATTTAAAACTGGAAACCGTTTCCTGTCAGCTTCAGTTAATAAGACCACAAGTACTTGTTCCAAGTGATTTCTAAAGCATTTTTTTTCAAGGTGTTTGATACATGAAACTCTCTGGGAAACTTTACAGGGGACAAACCCAACTTTTTGGGTTTTAACTCGCTTTTTTATTCTTGGATAAAACAACTACAAGATGGTTGAAAGTCTAAGTCACTATTTCAATGGCAAAAGGTTTTTTTAATCTGAGGTGCTGTTGTCTCCAGTCGTCTTTGGATCATAAGGAATACAACATGCAGCTTTTCCCCTCTGCCACTTGGGTTTCTGGAATGTTCTGCAGGCCAAGATGGCATTTTGGTGGCTTTTCAGGTGCCCAGGTTTGAGTCTGACTGGTGGGTCTCCAAAATCCATCCCCACTGGTGCCCACTGCTCACAGGTATTAAATGACCTGCAGCGCTGGGGAAGCACAACTTGTCTGGAGCCAGAACTGCTCGAGTATCTCAGATGATGAGTTGAATAAAATGTCTTGTGGATAATTTTTGGTTAATCCTTTGTATAATCCTGTGGCCTTGAGGCAGCAGGTGAAAAAACAGAGGCTGGGAAAAGCAAGTCTTTGAAGGGGCAGGGTTAGTGGAAGGCTTTTCCAGGGAACAGGATTGTCTGCTCCGGATGTGAAATCTGTGGTCTGTGTTTGAAGTTTGGTGTTGGACATGTGTCCAGTGCAGGCCAGTGACACTGAGAGGGATTTAGCTTAAAGTTATCTTGATTATAAATATCTCTGAGGAGCCACATAAGGAATTTGGAGTCCAGCTGTTCCTAAATTGTATGGACTGTACTGGGTGGTTTTTATTGATGATAGCATAATAGATAAAAAGAGAGATTGAAGCTGCATCTTCCTCCTAAATTTTGGACAATGGGCTCGCCCCTGACCCGTATGATTATCTCATTTATTCTCAGATTTTGTAGTTTTTAAAAAGTGGCTACAGGTTTTAACTTGTTCACAGCCCAGGGCGTGAACGTGTGGGAACCTCAGGGGAAATGCTTTGTCCACAAGCAGCGTGTTAGAGCCTGATAAAGAAAATGGGTGAGACCATTTGCATTTTTATCTCTTAAAGTTTATAAGAACCTAAGGGAGTTTTGGGGGAGGGGTTTCTTATGGATGGGGTTTTTTGGTCTGTTTTTTTTTTGGGACGGGTTTTGATTATTTACAGAACTTTTAGTACTTGCAGAGAGCAAGAGTTAAAGCGTTTTGGCCAGTGTTGCTTTGGCATAGCTTATGAGATAGGGATTAGATGAAAACCTTATAATTATTTTTTTTTTTTTTAGTTCAGTGCTTAAGAACCCCTTCGCAGGGGTATTACTGGGACAGGTAGTTTATTACTGGGACAAGTCAGGAATTGGTGGATTGTCTCGACCTTGCTCTTTAAGCCACCACTGCAGGCGGCTCTTTGCCCGTTTTGGCTGGATTTGGCAGCCGTTTGGGGTCGGAGGCTTTGCCGAGGGTTTTTTTCCCAAGATGTTTTTCCGAGGGTCCCGAGGGTTTTTTTTTCCGTGGGTCCCGCAGGGTTTTTCCCGAGGGGCGCCGGGACCCCTGAGCGCTGCAAATGGCGGCGGCACCACGGCTACTAGGACTACAACTCCCGTGATGCCCCGCGGCGGCGCGGTGACGTCACGAAGGCGCCGGGGACCCCGTGGAACGCGGCCCCGACGGGACGGGCCTGGCGGGAACCCCGGGAGAGCCCCGGGACGGGACGGGCCGAGCCGGGACAGAGCGGGGCGATGGCTCAGGACCGTGAGGGGCCTCCGGCCAAGCGCTTCAAGGCGGCGCAGCCCCAGGGCCACACACCACCCGCCCACGTGCAGCGCCGCTCGCTGCCCATCGCCGCCGCCCGGGGCCCGCTGCTGGCCCGGCTCCGCCGCCTCGACAGCGCCGTCCTCATCGGTGAGTGCTGGGGGTAATTCCGAAATGTGGTGAACGAGTAATATTGCTATTCTTGAGCCTTGGCTGGTTGAGGTAGCCAGGGACTTCAGTTTTATAGAGTTCGATCAAAGCCTGATGGCAATACTCTCCTCTTCAGAAGTGTCTCCTCAACTGCGTTTTCAGGGTTTTTCACTGATTTTATTATGCTTTCTCTGTGCCCAGAACTAGTAAGCTTCTCGTCAGACTTTCAGGAGCTGACGATATACAGCTTCCCATCTGGAAGTCTAAAGACCCAGCATTTATTGGAATTAAATGAAAAATGTTTTGTATTTCACTTCAGTTAGTGAACCCTTAAAAAATAACCCATCAGCCATGGTAACTGATAGATGTGACTGTGTTTATTTCCTTTCCTCCCTCCAATCCTGATATTGCCATTCTTGCTGGCTAAATACACACTATAATATGCCACTTAACGTTTTGCAGCTGTAGAGTGAGATAAAAAGCCCATTTGTGCTTTTCCCAGCCTGCAGCTGCAGTGCCCACAGTTTGGCCGTGGATTCTCCTCTGCTTGGTGCCACCCTTCTGAATTTCTCATGCTGGTGTTGGAAGTACCCCTCTGGGGAATGGTGTTTGTGTTGTTTACTGGTGCTGTATGGGTGGAGAAGACATTCCCCTGGGCTTGAGGGACCATCTCTTATTTCAGGGAGGTGCAGGGAAACACTTGGTGGTTGTTGGTGCCCCAAGAGCCCCTTTAAGAGCCTCAAGCCTGCACTCCCTTCTTGCTGTTGTGACCAAAGCTTGGCTTTAATTTGCTTTCAGCTTTACTGAGAAACTTCACAGTGTGTGTAGATTTGTGCATAACCCAAATCAGTGTCTGTCCTTGCTCTGCATGTTTTTCTCTTGTGTTGGCTGTGTGACAGGCACTTTGTCTCCAGACAGGCTGGAATATGTTTCTAACCCAGAGTGTGGCTGGAGAGCACTGGGGTGGAAGGAGCTTTGCAGGAGCAGCAAGAGGAGGGCGCTGGGTTCTGTCTCTGACCTGCCACTGCTTTGTGCTGTGACTTTCTCTTCCTGCCTTCAGCCTCCCCATCCTGAAATAGAGTTAAAAATAACCATGAAAACATGAGTCGCGACCTTTCATTTGATGATGCTGTAAAAGGGGAAAAAAAAAACCCCAACGTATTCCCTTGTTGTTCCTTAGGAGAAACGGGCTCAGGGAAGACCACTCAGCTCCCTCAGTACCTGTACGAAGTGGGAATTGGCCACCCCGGCCTCATTGCTGTGACCCAGCCCCGCAGAGTGGCAGCTGTCACCCTGGCTGCCAGAGTGGCAGAGGAGAAGAGGACAGAGCTGGGGAAGCTGGTAGGTTGGTTTCCAGGTTAACTTTAGAGAGTTGGTTTAGTGCTGCAGCGTGGATGGGGCCAAATCAGGGCTTAATGGGCAAGATAAAGAACAGCCACAGGGGTAATAGAATTTTAATGTCATGATTAGTTTTGGGTGCCACAATATAAGAAAGATGTAAAGCTGTTGGAGTCTAAAGGAGGCTGTGAAGATGATGAAGGATCAGGAGGGGCTGTACAAGGAGCAGCTGAGGGCACTTGGCTTGTCCAGCTGAAGAAGAGGAGACTGAGTGGAGACTCACAGGGTCTGCAGCTTCCTCACAAGGGGCAGCTCCGATCTCTGCTCTCTGTGACCAGTGACAGGACCTGAGGGAACGGCTGGAGCTGTGTCAGGGGACGTTAGGTTGGATATCAGGAAAAGGTTCTTCCCCCAGAGGGTGGTTGGGCACTGAACAGGCTCCCCAGGGCAGTGGGCTCAGCCCCAAGGCTGACAGAGCTCAAGAAGTGTTTGGACAACACTCTCAGGGACAGGGTGGGATTGTTGGGGTGTCTGTGCAGGGCCAGGAGTTGGACTGGATGATCCTTGTGGGTCCTTTCCAACTCAGGACATTCTGTGATTCTGTAATTAAATTAATGGAGAAAAGTGGCTCTACCTGCTTGAAGGGAGGCATGGTCTGTCTCTGTGGTATTTTATTCTTGGTTAGTATCTGTGTTCTTCCAGTTGAAAAAATACTGCTTAATGAATAAAACAAAACCCATTGTGCTCTGTTCCACTGCTCCCTGTATCAAAAGTCACTGTCAAAGAGAGCAGATTGATGAATCTGTGCAGCTCTGGGAATCTGAGAGAATCTGAGAGAAAAGGGGAGTGGAAAGACTTCCCCTTCATAAAACCTTCAGAGAGCACAGAGTCTCTTCTAGCAGGGGAGAAAGGAAAGGAAATAGTTACTTTATCTAGAGATGAATAAATTAATAAAGTGAACATTCAGTAGGTTATTTTAGCATATTCTATGATTTGCTGAAACTTGGAGCATTTGTGATGAACTTCTAGTTGGGAAGAAGCCAGTTGGGAGCATCCTTTGGGCGAGTTATTGTATTGGCAAGATTAAGTGCTCACAGACAGCAAATACACTGCTCTGCTTCCCAGAGCCCCCAGGCAGTGACCAGAGGGCTTTGCAGTCCTTCCTGGTGGCACGGTGGCAGTGAGAAGGGCAAGTCTTTGCGCTCCCTGTAGCCCCTCTGTGATCTCTCCCACAGGTTGGCTACACCGTGCGCTTCGACGACTGCACTTCTACCGAGACCAGGATCCGGTTCCTGACGGATGGGATGCTGCTCCGGGAGGCCATCGGGGACCCTCTGCTGCAGAAGTACAGCGTGGTCATCCTGGATGAGGCCCATGAAAGGACAATCCACACGGATGTGCTCTTTGGAGTGGTGAAAGCTGCCCAAAGGAAACGGAAGGAACGGGGCCTGAAGCCGCTCAAAGTGTGTGCAGCTGGGGTGGCAGCGAAGGGCAGGGTGGGGCTTGGGCTCTGAGTGCCGTGAGCATCTTCCAAAGTGTTTGGACTTTCAGCCTTGACCATTTGTCTGTTCCTGAAAAGTCCTTTTAAATCTGAATAGTTAAGGGTGTCCGACTTATGATGTGTAGGCCTGATACGGCACCTGGACGAGGTCCCTGGTCACCTCCATGTTGCCTTTTTTTGGTCAAAGCCCTTTGAGTGTGAGCTCTAGACTAGATGTGGTGTTGGGGAGGTTTTGGTGCTGCTGCTGAGAGCACTCCAGGAGCTCTGGTTGATGGGACAGGTGTGGGATATGGTCACTCCTGAGAAGGACATTGCATGTTTGTTTGGACATGTCATGGATTTGTGTGAAAGCGTGTTGGGTTTGCTGTAGGGTCTGGCAGGGTCCTCACACAGTCTCGTTCCACACACCATTGCACAGCCCATCTCTGTGGCTCGTTGCAGACCTGTATGGGCCCCTCTCCTGATCCTATTCATTGATGAGCACAAATGCAGACTGGGGCCCTTGGGTAATGCTGGAGCGTGGGATTTGAGTGGATTTGTCTGCTGGGCTCTTACAACCTTGAAAAACATTCCTGCTTCCCTCCCTCATGCACAGGATGGAAGATGTTTTGTGTTTTGGGGGCTCAGCTCTCTTTTAAACGTCAGAAAATAATTTTCACACATCTTCACTCATATCACACCAACATGTTATGCTTGTGTTAAAGAGCTGATGGCTTTAGCAAGGGGAGATCACTCTCTTCTGTCCCAAACTCTGTGAGCTTTTAGCTGTTCTGAGCGTGGCTCTCAGGATCCAGAAGGTGACTTTTGACTAGTCCCGACTTAGCAGTGTCCAGCTGGATGGAGACTGCAGTGCTAACCCATCCTGTGCTCACGTTGCAGGTGATCATCATGTCAGCTACGATGGATGTTGACCTGTTCTCCCAGTACTTCAATGGAGCTCCTGTCATTTATTTGGAAGGCAGACAGCATCCCATTGAGATCTTTTACACCAAGGAGCGTCAGAGTGACTACATCCAGGCAGCACTGGTGTCCATCTTCCAGATCCACCAGGTATGGTGATCTCACCAGGTTTGTGTTTCTCTGGGATTGGCATTTTGTGACAGGATGTTTGACTGCCAAACTGCCAGATGGTTTGTCATTTAATTAAATTGCATTTAATGCTTTGAAGATGCTGCTGCTGTTGGGATTTTGGGACCTGTACATCAAGGCTGGAGCTGAAAGGAGACTGCTAAGCAAAGCTCTTTGATGTTGTTTCATACTTAATAACTTAACATTGTTCTCACCTGAGTGCTCTGTACCTGGGTGCTTGCTGGCTTTCCCTGCCTGTCCTGGACAGTTATTTAATGACACAGCAGTTCCTCCATCCTGTTATGATTCACTCCCACAAAATGTGATTTACTCTTCACCTCTGGTGAATCCACCAGAATTCAGGCTGTTTGGACAAAGCTGTCAGGCACATGGTAGGATTCTTGGGGTGTCCTGCACAGAGCCAGGAATTGGATTGGATGATCCTGATGTGTCCCTTCCGACTCATGATTCTGTGTTGCATACCTGGCACCACATGTGTGTCTTGTCTTTCTGCCTCACCTGCTTTGCTGACTTGCTGCCAGGACCACATCTGATTATCATCTCAGTTCTCCTTCCCTACCCAAGCCCTCCTAACTTGCTTTTTCCTCTGGCTCCAGGAAGCACCTGCGTGTCAGGACATCCTGGTTTTCCTGACTGGTCAGGAAGAAATCGAAGCAATGACCAAAACCTGCCGAGACATTTCCAAGCATCTCCCCGAGGGCTGCCCACGGATGACAGTGTTGCCTCTTTATGCTTCTCTGCCCCACCCTCAACAACTGCGTGCCTTTAAACCCACCCCTGAGGTGAGGGAATGTGGTGGGTGAGCAGGAGAAGTTTGTTTGCTTGCCTGAGTGGAAGAAACACGTGGAATTTAAGGGGTTAGAGCAATCTGTACTGACAGTAATAGTCCCTGCTGTCCACTGACTTTAGGCTGAATGGGTCCAGTGTGATGTAAGACAATGCAACTGTGATGGTATTAACAGATGCATCTGATCATGAAAAGAAGGAAAGATCAGAGGCAGTCAAAAGGGCAGAGGAATCAAAATTTGCCCCATTTCATAGGAATTTTATGTCTGTATCACAAAAAGCTACAACAGTTAATGGGAGAAATACTAATAAAGCTGAAAACCTGGACGTGTTTGTCAGGGCTGTAAGAAAAGGAAATTGGGCTGCCTCAAACTCTTGTGCCTCTTCAGCAGATAAATAAGAATACAGATGTTGTGCCAGAAATGAAACCAAAATCGTTGAAAGATATATTGATAACAGCTGTTCTGGTGGTGGGTTTTGTTGCAAGTGTAAGCACATGTTTTAGAAACCTATTTGAAAATGGAGATTATTTTAATTTATGAGAGCTGGCAGAGCAACCACAGTGTGTGGTCACAATGTGCTGCAGGGATAGGTAGAAGCAAAGAAAGAAAAGAAGCAGCATTTCTTTGTTGCAGCTACTCTGAGGTGGGTTTAACTTGTCCTTCCTTGCAGGGCTGTCGCAAAGTGATCCTCTCCACCAACATTGCAGAAACCTCCATCACCATTTCGGGGATAAAATACGTGGTGGACACAGGAATGGTCAAAGCTAAGAAGTACAGCCCTGGTGAGGAATTCTAAGGAACAGCACAGAGATGGGGTTTGGGTTTGTACAAGTTCCTGGAGGCCATGAGCTCCACTGAGAGTTGATTTCAAATGCCCTCTGTGCTGTCTGAGTTAATATTGCAAGTTTTAGGTGTGTGGTTTGATGGTGGGTTTGTGGTTGTTTTTTTTTGTTTTGTTTTGGGGTTTTTGGTTTGTTTTTTTGGTTTTGTTGGTTTTGTTTGTTTGTTGGTTGGATTTTTTTTATTATTATCAGCCATGTGGGGGTAAAAATCTGTCAAATATGAATCCTCTCTTCACGGACACAGTACGGGATAATCTGCTGTGCTTCAGGAGCTCAACCAAGTGAACTCTGAGCAGGATTTGGATGGCAAAAGTTTTATTGTTAATCCTCTGTGTTTTTCCAAGCTGTGCATTGACTGAAGTGATGCTTTTCCACGCACAGACACTGGTCTGGAGGTGCTGGCAGTGCAGCAGGTGTCCAAGGCCCAGGCCTGGCAGCGCACAGGCAGAGCGGGGCGGCAGCAAAGCGGGATCTGCTACAGGCTCTACACAGAGGAGGACTTTGAGAAGTTTGATGAAATGACAACACCTGAGATACAGAGGTGAGGACAGAACTTGCCACATCTGGTTTCTGTACTTTCACAGCTGGAGCTGTGTGCAGAACTGAGCAGCAAAACTGGATCTAGGGGCTGTCTGGGTGACTTTTAAGAAAGATGAAGTGTGGAGACTAAACAGAAAATCTAGGAATTGTTTGCTCAGGGTGAACTGATGGGCACTCAGTCTCCAGACACACAGGGCAATAGTTCTCTTGACTGTCTCCAAATCTTGGACTCACCTCTTCCTGGTTTAGGAAGTAAGGCTTCACCAGCAGCATAAGACTAGTCTCTGTCAAGTTGCATTACACACCTGAGTACTCTTCCTCAGCTAATAAGCAAATAAAATTAAAAAATAATTAAAAAAAACTAAAAAGAAGAGAACTATCCTAGTTGTTTTTTCTGCCTCTGCAGGTGTAACTTGGCCAGTGTGGTGCTTCATCTCCTGGCCCTGAAAATTCCCAACATTCTCACCTTTGATTTCATGTCCAAACCATCCCCTGGTAAGTGGTTACAAAGGCAGCCTTGGGGGTAAAAAGAGCAGGGAGCAGTCTTGAGTCATAAAGAACAAGAAGATGTGTCTTCACTGCCAAGGGAAACCAGGGTATATTGGAAACATTGCTTGTTCTCCTGGATAGAGGAGGATAAACCACATTTTTTGACTCTTAATTTTTCTAAATGGAAAGTGCTTGTCCCTCTGGCCAGGGGAAGAGGCAGTGGTGGTACCAGGTGATCCCTCCCATCCCTCAGTGAGAGGCAGGAGCCTCACAGCCCCAGTGTCCTTGTTTTGGCAGATGCCATTCAGGCAGCGATTGATCAGCTGGACCTGCTGGGTGCTGTGACACAAAAGGAAGGGCAGCTTGTCCTGACCCCCCTGGGAAAGAAAATGGCAGCCTTTCCTCTGGATCCAAAGTTCTCTAAGGTAAAAACTGCAGACAAATTAACTGATGTTTATCTCATGTACTCATCTCAGTACTGTTGGCATTTCTCTTTCAAACTCCTTAAACAAGGTGTGGAATTTGGGGTGTCTGGAGCTGTACTGGTGTATTTGCTGTACATTAATGCACATTATTTACAGCCCTCGTGTTGGATTGCTTGTCATTTGTTTTTTAAGTCAGGGAGGTTTCTTGAAAGAGAATTGTTTTTCTCTGGCACCTCTGAAGCTGAAAGGAGGCGAATTTCCTTGCAATTTCCAGGATTGTTTAGCAGGTCCATGAAGTGTCTGCTGCTGTAGCTGATTTCAATCACCACGTTTGTACTGAATATGCACTGGTCAGTCTCAAGAAAGAGCATGGCAATTGCTATTAGAGATTCTTGCTGAGCCTATAGAAGGATTTACAGTTGTCCCTGGACCCAGATGTTTATGGAATTGTCCTGAGCAATGTTTGGTAAAGTTCCTGGCTTGCCAGGGAAGAGAAAAGTCTGCCCATCTGAAGTGAATTTGGTCGACCCAAAGTGAGTTTTGTGGTGTGATTTGCAGGCCATCCTCCTGTCCCCCAAGTTCCACTGTGCCGAGGAGATCCTGACCATCGTGTCGCTGCTCTCGGTGGACAGTGTCCTCCACAACCCCCCTGCCCAGAGGGATGAAGTGCAAGCTGTCAGGAAGAAATTCATCTCCAGTGAGGGGGATCATCTCACCCTGCTCAACGTGTACAGGGCCTTCAAGAATGTCAATGGGCACAAGGTGGGATGCTCCGAGGGTGCTGGTGCTGTCTGGGCTTGTGGGGGTGAGGAGCTTTGGGCACAGAACAGAGGGACACCTGCATCCTCCCTGGCTGGTGCAACAGGCATCCCCCAAAGCTGTGAGAAAAGGGGACTCATCCTTTACAAGTGGGGAATTGGAGGAAGCTGTCCAAGTGCCAGAGGTTCCTACAGAAAACTGTAGTTGGTTATCAGAGCTTTGTGAGGCCCGTTCTGTAATCAGAGACAGGTTCCTTCCCTCTTCCTTCCCTGGTTCCAGCTGGAAACAGGAGTGTTGAGACTTGATAAATACCTAGACATGCTCTGTGACAGAATTAACTGCAAAATACTGAGCATATCTACCAGCAGATTTGGATTTATCCCACCCTATCAACTCCTCAGTTTGATTTGTGGAGCTGTGGACTCGTGCAGCGTCTGTCGCTCTGATCTGATTTGCTGTTTTTTAGCACTGTGGGAGGGAATCTAAACAGAGGGGAGTAATCAGGGGTAGAAATATGACAGATTGTATGGGGGATCCTGCTTTTCCTGGTATCCAAAGGCTGTCATGCTGCTGGGGTGAAGAAATGTCCCCTTCTAACTCCTAATGTCTCCACTGCAGGGATGGTGCAAAGAGAACTTTATCAACGGCAGGAACATGAGGCTGATGGCAGAAGTCAGAGCTCAGCTCAGGGACATTTGTGTAAAGGTAACTTGCTGCCATGCTGTGTTTCTGTTTCACCTGTTTATATTTTCCTGTTTGTCCCCACACTGATGTCCCTGTGCACCAAGTCCTGGGAGTAAGAAAATGTGGGTTTGTTTTCAGTCTTCCAGGAATAGTCAGGTAAAACTTCTGACTGTGGAGTCGCATCCCAAAATCTGAAAGCTGCAGGGCCTAATGGGTCGAGGAGAGGTGAAGAAAGATGGGGAGCTCTGGGAAGGCTTCTTAGAGAAAATGCAGGGTTGATCCTTGTGGGTCCCTTCCAGCTTGACATATTCTGTGGTTCTGTATATCTTGGCCAGACCACAGAGCTGGGATGCACTCCACAGTCAGAAGTTTTACCTGACTATTCCTGGAAGACTGAAAACAAACCCACATTTTCTTACTCCCAGGACTTGGTGCTCAGGGACATTTGTGTAAAGGTAACTTGCTGCCATGCTGTGTTTCTGTTTCACCTGTTTATATTTTCCTGTTTGTCCCCACACTGATGTCCCTGTGCACCAAGTCCTGG